CTTCTAGAAGTAGCCACAATAAGGCCACTGGATTATGATATAAAGATGCAAGGTACCTTGCTTCTTGCCAATCTCATGTAGGTTTCAGTGACATAAAAAGACACATTTTTAAAATTGACAGTGTGAGATTCACGGGAGTCTATCTTTGAGCTGATTCATGGAGATTTTGTAGTATTAAAAGGTGTGTTGCCTAAGCCAGGTTTTGAACTGCTTTCTCAATGCAAGAGCATTTAAAGCTGTCATCTGTTGCATCATAACCCTCTTTTTCCTGGAGATCCTCCTGCACAGTAGAGGGTCACATGGGGCACCTTCCATGGCATGGAGAACACCCCACTGCTTTGCAGCCTGCCTTGATGGTCAGAAAATACTGATGCCACAGAGAGAGGGTAGCTTTTTATCACCTCTCTAAGTCACTGCCTATGAAACCTACCACAATAGATGACTGTTGTCTCTGGAGAAAGGGCAGAAGGTAAGACCTAGACAGATGTAAGAGGCAGACCCCCTTCCACTTTTCAAAGTTGGGTTAAAAATAAATCCAAATCCTCTATCTATTGCAGGATCCTCACTAATCCACACATTCTCTGTTTACTAGTCTGTAAAATGGGACCAATAATGGCCAGTCATAATATGTAATGAATGGGAAGCAACAACTGCTTTACAATATTCAGTTCTATTCATGTCCACATGACGAGCAGAACTCTTGCTACCCTCCCTGCATTTCAGGTGCAGAACCAAACTTTCTGTTTTCTACCTTTGTATTTCTTGCAATGTGAGACTGTTTGGCAGAGGCCCCTTCCTTTCTCTTCACAAGTCAAGGTCACTAACCTGCTCTGTTGGGCTGAATTTCCATAAAGTGGGGCCCTCAAAGTACCATAGCTTGGAACCAGGTAGGTTCTGATAAGACATGGGATTGAACCTACCTTGCAAAGTTACGGTTGTGGAAATAACACAGGAGAAGCTCTCTGAGCTTGGAGCAGGAAGCGTGGGGCCAAGATGTACTGAATAAATGGAAAAGCCAATACAACACAACCAAGGTCCTGTAGCACCTTGATGACCGACCCATTTGATAATGCCAGCTTTTCATCTGAATCTCCTTCTCCAGTAGCCCACTTTTCCAGAGCAAAATTCAAATAAAGAGCCAGTGTATGTTGAGAGAAAATGGATGGCATACATGCCACTTCAAAGAATCATCAGCTGAAATCCAGGAGGATGTGACAACTGAAGTAGACCACTTTGAATCAATGGAACATATGGAGGAGCTGACCCACCTAATCTCTGCTGATTCAGTGGGTCTATTCTAGTTTTGACTTGCTACTGGATTTCAGCTATTAGAAGGGAGAAGAAAGGCAGAATTCTGATTTCTGGGGTGTCTTTTTCATTACAAGTTCAATCACCGGCCCCTGCGTTCCCGGGGGTTCTATTGTTGAACATTCCACAGAATACGATTGGCAACAGGTGAATTATAACACATTTTGCTGTGTCCGGGTTCTTTCAAAAGGCACTGATTCTCATTGTCTGACCTTCACACCCCGAAAGTCAGTAAACACTTAAATCCCACCGCACCAGGCTAATCCGATTTGGAGAGGGAGAGCCTACGAATTTGCTTTACATCTGTTCCCTTATAGACAAAAGCGGCCTATATAATGGATCATTGTGCAGCATTCAGCTCGTCTGAACTGCCTTTGCATCTCCAAGTCCTTGGGTGAAGGAAGACTATTTCTTTTCTCTCTGTTTGATCCAAGGATAAGGGGGACTGCCTTCTGGATCACCCCTAAAATCACAAGAAGAAAACCTCAGAAACCCTACCGCTTTCCCCCAAGTAGCTCACCTGAGGTTGCAATCCTAAGCAGGTCTGATTGAATCCTAGGTGTGGAACTTCCAGGTAAATTTTTAGGGTTTAAGAGCGGATTATCTATCAGTTAGACACACCTAGACCCACTGATTGGTTGGTTGGTGTCAGTGGGTTCAGCAGAGCTTAATTCTGCACAGATGGGACTGTACGTTTGCATCATTCAAAAACGATTGCAATCTTAAATGCTTTAGTTTAGGAATAAGCCTCAGGGGAATTAGGCCCTGTCCACACTGGGGAATTTGGTGCCTGGTCTGCACTTAAAAGGTTTATATCCTTTGAAACTCTCACTTGAATGATCCTTCCGTCCACACTGGGGATAATACTACAGGTCCTCTTCTTCCATACCATGGGTCACTACAGAGCGAAGTTTGTCAAGTTTACTCACAAGCAAGCTTTGCTCATGACTAAGAAGGTAGCAGCTGCAGCACAAGGGGAAAACATTGGGGTGAAAGTGGAGGAAATGGGAGATAACCCCCCTCCCACCTTTCTCCTCAGTCAGGGAGGGCTCTGTGGGGGGGGGCGGAGCCCATGAAGTCAACATAACTCCTCCCCCCCCCCGGGCCTTTTCCTCTCAGTCTTCATTCAGGGGGCTGGGGTGAATTTCCTTTTGTTTCCTTCTTTTGGTTAAATAAAGTAAGTGGCGTATCAAGACACCAATGCATGGTGTTAGGATTTCACTGCATTGGTTAGGCTTTTTTAAAAAGAAATAAATCAACAATGGAAGAGGGGGCTTCTCTGCCCTTCCTTTTAATGTCACAGCCCACCTAATGCCTTGTCTCCTCAGTTAACGCCACCCACAGTTCCCTTTCGAGTGTAGGCTAACCGTCCGCACAGGCTAACACAAGGAGCTAATTAGGATCCCTCTAAATTATACCCAAAGCATACATGCCCTGGCACTGGGCCAGAAAGGTAGTGTGGCAACTCTTAAGGGGCAGGAGGGGCTGCTCTCTCTCTCTCTCTACATGGAAACATGTGTGGATGCCAGCATCTGGTCTGACCCAAATGGTACCAACAGGGATCCATCTATAGGCCAGTGTGCACCGTTTCTCAGTCTCCGGTTGGACCACCTGTGGCCCTGCAGAGACAAATGAGCTACAGCTCCCATCATCCCTCACCACTGGCCCAAGTGAGCTGGGGCTCATGGGAACTGGAGTCCCAGAACATCTAGAAGGCCTCAATTTCCTTATCCCTACCCTACAGCTCCTGCTTGCGATGGGGGGCGTGGGTGTGTGGAATGATGTGGACTAGATAAGCCCCTCCTTAGGCGAAGCATCGGGGGCGGGGCCTAGCGCTTCCGAAATAAAAACTCGGAGCCGCGCCGCCTCCGAGTTATTTTGCGGCTGCACGTTGTATCGGATCGATTCCGGGCTTTCCCTCCCTCCCCCAAATCTTCGCTTAAGAAGCTCTTTTTTATTTTTCGCTGGGTAGAAGGAAAACCCAGGCGGGGTTTCGCGTCGGCAGAAACCAACTTTCGTGTGTTTATTTCCTCTCCTCTCTTAGTGGGTCTTTTCTCTTTCTCCCCCGCCCTTAGAACACGGGGTTGTCCCCAGTTTTTTTTCCCCTTAACCGAAAGACGAAGAAGAAGAAGGAAAAAAAAATCATCCCCTTATATAGCCGCCTCTTCTGGGGCCAGGCTGCTTCTGGACTGACCCAAAAGCAAATAAACAGAAACTCGCTCGCAATTTCTCACAAGAGCGGGGCTGTCTGTGGAAAGGGAGGCGGGGGGGGGAAGGAAAAAGATCGCGAGCCGGGAGCTTTGGCAAGAAGTCGTCGCAAACTTCGGCGGCGGCGGCGGCGGCGGCAGCTCCTCCTCTTCCTTGCTTCTTGTGATCCTGCAAGTCGGGGGAGAGCAGGCGCGAGGGGAAGAGCGTGGTAAATGCCCCTCGGGGTGGGGGTGGTAAAAATGCAAAAGGGGGCCGGCGTCCCCGCCGCGCTGCTTTAAGCTCCAGTCCCGGCCGTCTCCTTTCCCCACACAGGCCCGCCTGTGATTGGCGAGGACGCTGCAAGCCCCCGGCCGTG